TATGGGTGAAGTATGAAAGTGCTTCAAAGCAAGGTCAAGCGCAGGCACAAGTCACTAAAGTATGTTTTGCTCCTTAAAATGCGGATTAATGGGAGCTCTTCACTGGTGGCAAGGAAATGGGCAGTTACATTCACAGCATTTTCCATGCAGTTGCTTTAATGTTGTGCACAGAGGACGAATGCGGTTCGGAAAATCTCCCCTGCCCCTCCCTGGGAAACTGCTCTGTGGCTTCTCCAGGACACAAGGGGCCTGTCTTCTAACGTACCACATCTGTTCATGGAGGCTACCCTGACAGGTCTAGTTCAAAGAATGCTTCTGATAGCAATTAGCCCTCACAGGCTGAGTAGTGTGGACAAGAGAGGACCTGGTACTAGCAGCAGACTGGGGCACCATGCCCATCTCCTTTCTTCAAAATCTTGCCTCTTCCCTGCAGCTCTTCCAGGAATGTTGCCCCAGCAGCTGCACCAAGAACTGCCCTGGGACTGCCTAGCAAACATGGGGTAGAAGTTGAAGCCAGTACTGAATTTGCCTGAGCACAAGGTTTGGTTACTTGGCGCTTGTCCAGAGCCGGGCTGAAGAGGCCACAGCCGTGACCTCAGAGGCAGTCCAGCCAGGATGCTATGACCAGGAGTACAGAGGAAAAATACCAAGATCATGGACTTCAGATTATCATCTCACAAGTGGCCATGCTTCACTTCATGTCATCTCTGAGCACCCATATTTTTTTAGAAGCGAAAGGTTTCGTACAGCACCATGTTTGTGAGTAGAGTGCATTGTTCAGAGAAACATCTTTTCTGCCAAGTTCCTGCCTAATTAGAGGTGTGTAAGCATGGGATTTGTGATGCTTACAATCTTTAGATGAGGGATGTTCCATGCTGGGTTAATTTATTCAATGTCTTCACTTAACATGACCGTTACCCAGCAGTTGTAACTATCTAACATGATATGCAGTTGATCACTGGTGCCCACTTCCTGTGTGGCTTCAGATTCCTTTGTCACTAGCGAATAATCCACAGTTGTGCATCACATTATTAAAAAGCACAAAAGAATAAAACAAAAGCAGAAACTAAGCCTAATGCTATCTATAAAGTAAGACCCTGTAACTGTTTCAGCTTCAACTCACAGTCTGCTCTGAGTGTGTGGGGCTTTCAGCACTCTGTTTAACATGATTGCAGAACTCTTTACCCTGTTCAAAATTCTGTGTTGCACAAAACTCTCCAGGATGGTTTCCATTCCTTCAGTGTGATAAACCCTTGGAAACTGCATCACTTGTCACCAAATGACCAGCGCATCCTCATGCTTTTTTTCTGTCTTCCAGAGTTTTGAAGCTTCAAAGCTACAGTTTAGCAACAAGAAATAATCTGGAATAAAACTGATCATTTCCTATTCCATGATATTTTGGGGGTTGTTATCATAACTGCATTTAAATAACATTACTTGTTCATCAGGAATAAAAAAAGGCACCGTGATTTGCTGCCTCCTTGGAAATCAGACCCTTTTGCATTTCTGTTTATTTTCTTCTCATCCTGATGTACTTATAATGAGGAATCCAATTTTTCCTCATTAACTTCACAATGATATCAAACACATGATCATGGCTGATTTTTTAATTAGTTCCATTATATGCATTTGCAAAAACCATTCTTTGGAAATATAAAGTAATTCATAACAAACATAAAATAATCTCGCAACTGTTCTGTGAGCATGCCAGTAAAACAGCTGTACTGAATCACTCCACAGATCTGTTTAGTCCGCTGTTCCAATGGTACAGAATGCTTATAAAAGTATAAACAATGGGGTACCTGTCCCCCATATCTGAAAGGTTAAAGACCTCCCAATATTAAGATTGGCAAGGCATGGTCTCTGCTCATGTCTCCTTTGTGTAACACTTTTTCACTCTGTTTATACCTTTTGGCAGATTATCCTCCAGCAGTGAGTTTCAGTTTGATTCTGTGTTGCTGAAAGGGGATTTGCTCTGGGGTTTTTGTTCTTTCTTTGTGCCACTTAGTACTAGTGCTATGAGCCCAGCAAATCAAGTGATCCCTGTTCTCTTCCACTGTTTTGAGGCCTCTGCGCTGCTCCTATTCCATGCTGAAAAGCCTTCATTTAACCTCACTTGACATGAAAACCACTCCTCACCTTTGACCATGTCAGCTCCCATCCTCTGTGCTGACTCCACTGTGCAAATGAACTCCTGCTCCCCGCTATGTGTGCTGCTGCAAGGCACTGGCAGTGAGGCTGAGCCAAGAGGTGTGCAGGACAGCAAGCTGCACTTTTGTGCCCAGCCTGCCCCAGTTCAAATACAACTCCTTTCCAGAAGGGTCCAGGGGGGCTGGGTGCACATATGGCTCTGAGCAGGCAGGACAGCTGGCTGCTGGAAAGTGCCGTTGCTGAGGCATATGCTCTTTTGATGTCCTTCCACGCTTTGTGGGTCCAAGGCAGTGCGGCACCACATCTGTGCTGCAGAAGCTCAGTACCTCCATGATGTGCCGTGGCACTGCAGCCTTGGGGAGACACAGGCATGGTGCAGGATGGGGTCAGAAGGGCCCCTCTGGAGCAGCACCCGTTTCACTTCCACCAAGGTGCCTGGTCCCATTTGGTCCCTGGTGGTAGGAGACCCTGACTCCTTTCGTGCACTCGCTGTCCACACCACGGCCCCTCTGATTCTCTGGAAACCCTCCAGACCAGGCAGACAGCAACAGGAGTCCTGTTTGTTCTCCACAGCAAACTGGCCAGTCCCTCAGAGGTGACAGACAGGGGCAAGGTGCTGGCATCATCTCAGAGGAAGAAAAGCAAGTGTCTGAACTGAACTGTGTGATGCATCCCCATAGGTGAGAAATGGGGGCTCCTCAAAAACTGGGGAAATTGTCACTGGGCACATCTCTGCCTCCTTGGCTCCAGCCCAAGCTGGAAGCGCTCAGGGGTTTCTCTGTGTGGCTTCCCAGTCCACAGCTCTCCCTGCTGCCTCACTGTAGGGCAGGTTATTTTCTGTTCTGGGTCTATTTTTGTGGCAGACAAGTGCTGAAAGTCCTTGGCACATGTCACTGCTACCATACAGGCAGGTTCCATGGTTGGCTGGATCCTCCTGACCAAGTGACATCAGCACCCAGTCCTGTGTTGTGCTGCAGTATTGCCTGAGTCCCAGCAAGCTATGGCCAAAGCTGGACTGGGGAGACAGCAGAAACACCCTTTTCAGCCTTTTTGCACTATTACAAGGTAAGATTTTAAGAATTTGCTTTGTCCTGTGTACAGTATGGCCAGCTCAGCCTGCACTGAGTTTTCCCTTCTTCATTTTCATCACCTCTGACGTGTACAGCAGAATAGATAAAATAAGTTGAGCCCTTCAGAGCTGAAGCATAGAAAGTCCGGATACGTTTTTGAAAAAGAAACAATGCAAGTCAGCCTTATGTGTGTGCAATTTTCACATTATTCATTGAAGTCCAAGCTACAAAGTCACGGAGATATGCAGCACTGCACATGTGGTCTCCTGCCCCACTCTGAAGACACCAACATGCAAGCAGCTAGTTAACTAATGAAAAACATCATTTTAATGTTGCTGGAAAATGCAAAAAAAGGTGGAGTCTAAGGAAAAACAAACAAACAAAAAACTTGTACAAAAATGTTAAGAATGAGACACATTACTTGCCAGATGCTTTTTTCTGCCTCACATTGTGACGCAGTAGCACATATTTTACAGATTTTTAATTTTCTCTTAAAATTAACAGGAAAATTTATTCAGCAAAGCACTATATAGAGAAAAAGAGATTAAAACCAATTTCTAACAGGATCAGGATCCATATTTTATTTAAAGCAGCACTTTCATTATTATTCATAGGAAATCACATGAGAATCAATTTGGTATGAACGCAGTCATGCCAAGGAGCTTGACATTTTATTTCATAAATACATATATTTAAAAAAAAAAAAAAAAAAAGCCCTACTGAACAGCCAGGAAGTGTCCTTTGTAGTTCTAAACACAAACACATTTATGAGCTGAAAGTGTGTTTCAGATAGTATTACAAAGCAGGATTCCATATGGCAGCTGAGGTCCAGAGCTGGAATGACTCAGGAAATCAAAAAGATGAAAAGATCAGCACAGCTTATTGAACAGTCCTGATGGCTCCTGAAGCACCCTCAGCTTCATGGGTTGAACAGGCAGACTTGCTAACTGGCAGAGCTGCAGACACATTTTGCAGTAGCAGGAAGTCATGATTACATTCTCAAAGATTGTCTTTCTAGTAACAAAGAACACACTACAATCCAGCTTCTATTAAGGGGGTTTTGTATGTGAGATTTCATGTAGGGAAATAGGCAATGGGACATCTGATTGATTACAGCTGTAAAATGTTTCCATAGAAAGCAGGTTAAAGAAAGACCAGAAAATGGGCATGAAACAAGTACTTTTATGAGACTTAGGAGGTTGGAAGCAACTTTTTGAACAGTGTTTTTAGGTGATAAAGCAAATAGTAAACTCACCTGCTCCACATCTATGGAAAATAGGTAAACACAGCACTGCCTAACTGGAAATCACTTGTATTTACCCTTGATTGTATTTCTACTTTGAGAGTTGTTTTCCTGCCTTTGCTTGCCAGCTGACTTCTATGCAAACTGTCTGCAGTAATGGCACATGGAGAAGGTTGTGCCTCCCTCCAAAAGCCCTCTGTGATGGACTATGGGGCATGGGACTCAGCCCTCGAAAAGGCAGCCATGCAGTCTGAGTGGAGAACTCCTGCCTGCTGCAGGGGGAGAGAAGCTCTTCCTGGAGGTGGCCACCTCTGCCCACAGTGGCATCACATCCCATTCTGCCAGACAGACATCAATGACTGCCTTGCAGCTAGCTACTAGTGAATGAGTAGGCACATGCTTTGCTTTAGAATATGGACCATATACAGTACATGACATATACTGGGGTATGGGCTTGCAAAAAAAAAAGCATGTGGCTTCTAGTTCTGCTCATTCTTGTGAATTTATTTGGGGTTTGTTTTTTTTTATTATTTGAAAAATGTTGATTTCTTTCAAAACATGAAGAATATAATACTAGGAACCTTCGTTCTCTCAAGAAAACTCTGATCTCTGCCTCTTCTTCTGCAGTGTTCCCTGTGCACAGAAGATCTTTCCCAGGTTGCTCTGTGAAGTTAAGAGGCAATCTTATTCCATATCAAGACCTGATGACAGGATCTTAAAGCAACCAGCCTATACAAATGTGTCTAAGTGTAGCCCAGGAAGAGACATCAGACTACCAAGAAAAACAGCAAACAAAGGTAGGTCTGAGAAAGGTGTGTTTGACTGCAAGCCTATTCATCGCTGTCCTCAGATCACTAGTGAGCCATGACAAAGATTAGTCTGAACTTGAGTGAGATCTTCAGGTATTTCTGCAGCATAACTATGGGTTGCTTTACCTTCCCCATGCTGTATCTAGAGAGAGACTGCTCTCTGGATGAGGCAGAAGTTTCCTCTGGCTACCTCTGCAAGTCCTCATTTCCTACACACTGTCTTATGTGGCTTCTCTGACTCCCTTGCTTCCCAACACCCTGCTATCCTAAGCCACGCTGGCTTTCTCCTCTGCTCAGCACAGGTACAGCGCGCCCTCCATTTCACTTGAGGGACAGTTGAACAGGCCTGCTTGTTAACTAGGGCATAGTAAGCTATGCTGTATGGGAAGCGTGCTCTTGGAGCCTTGCAGCAGCAGACAGCAAACAGTCAATCACCACCCTGCTCTGGCATTGCCATTTTGTGCACCACATGGGAATGGAAGGGTTGAGGTGGCCGAACTCCACAGCTGGTGGCATCAGCTCAGCAGGCAGATTTTGAGGGGAGAACAGAAAATGCTTCAGAAAACAAAGGGAAATCATGTACAGATCAGCAGGGCAAATGAAGAAACAAAAGAGCACAGATGTAAGGACTTACACCCTCTCAGGGAGCCAAGAGATGAATGCAGAGGGGGAGGCAGATGGAAAGCCCAAGAGCCTGTAGGATGCCTGAGCCTAAGCAAAGCAGCTCTGAGGAAGTCACCAGCCAGGCTTGAGCAGGGTCAAGCCCCTGATTCAAACCTCAGGGAGTAAAGAAGTAGCTTTCTGGGAGCTTGTTTAAGCTTTGGCTTTAGCATGCCAGAAAAACAGAACGTGTGGCCCTTGGTAAAGAGAGGGGGTGGCTGTGTGACAGTCCCAAAACCAAAAGAGCCACCGTGTCTGCCCCGTTGTGTGTGAATCCATAGTGCTACCCAGAAGCTCCCTCTGGCAAGATGATTTGACCAGCATGCATATGTGACGATGAGTGCCTGCATTTCTGTTTCACTGTGGGGAATCCAGATGGGGATGGTAATAGCTTGACTTTAAGGGCATTTTAAAATATCTGTGTTTTTGCAGTGTGTACAAAGAGCTGTGGATGTGCAAGCCCTTGACTTCTTGACATTAAAACTAAACTCTAAAATTCAGCAGAATGTATGTCCCTGTGTGTTCGTAAGGTTTCTGATGCCAAAACACACAGAAAATTAATAGACTGTCACTGAAGAGTCCAAAACTGAGTCTATCAGGAAGAAAGGAAAATGTACTTTTCTTCCTCTCATTTCCACAGTTGTTGCTTTATTTCATATTGCTTTTGACATTTTATCTGGTAACTGAGATATCTAAAACCCTTTCTTGATTATTTATTCGGTTCCACAATATTTATGTGCGCTACATCACCCTCTGCTTTAAGTTCTCTTCCAACGAGCTCTGATCGGGAGATTTCCTTGTGAGCTTTCTTTTATATGGCTTAGCTTGAAAGCAAAGATAGCCCTAGGCATGCAGACCCTCATGGAAACATGCAGCTGTGGAAGAGAGACAGAAGGAACCCCTAAGTCCTTAGAGCAAGGAGCTGCAGTTGCTACTTTCTGTGAGCCTTTTTTCTCCTCCCTTGGTAGGGTATTTACATGAACAAGGACAGAACAAAAACCCAAGGGGAGGGAACAATGACATGGAAGTAGGCTTGAAAACAGCAAAGCTTTTGATGGAGTTAGGAAGCTCAGACAGACATCTGCAGCCTTCAGCATGCCAAAAGCTACCTTCCTACCTACAGCTGCATTTGTGCCCCTGTGAGTGTATAATGCCTAGGAATCACAGAGGGTGTTTGTATCTTGTCCAGTTTTCCATTCAGATCAGCCCACGGCATGTTTTCATATCCTATCCAGCTCTGCATTCCTGCTGAGGGCTGGGGCACACGCTGTCGCATAGGCTTCTGGAAAGGGAGAAAGAGGTGAGAAACTGGTCCCAAACTTGGCATTGTCCCTCTGCATGTCATAGGTGGAAAATGGTGTAATTTCAATGTGCTGCTCTTTTCACATGCTTTTTGTTTTTTCTGCCTTGTTTTCTGGCTCAACCAGGCCCAGATCTTCATCTAAAGCAAATCCACAGAATTCTCTGACTGTGGGAAAGCCACCAAAATGCCTATTTGTATTAACAGGCTCTTAATTGCCACTTTCCCCTGCTGAGTTTCTCCAAGATACTCAGATGCTCTCTGCATGGGAGTCACAGTGCATGGGAAAGCACCACTGGGTAGACTGGCAATCACTGCAGTGGTTTTTGTTTAACTTCAGCCATACCTGGAGCCTATAATTATGGTGTTTTAATGTAACAATACATGGAGGATACAATATAACAATAGTGCGACAATGTGTAGGCAAAGGCAACAATAGAAAAAAGACTGTATATGGAGGGGCTGTGGTGTTTGAGCAGAAAAAAGGCATGGACAGTGATTGGTCCCCTCCAAGGGCTGCAAGTGCCTGCTCCATGCAGCTGGAACCTGCCAGGTCCCACTCAGGATCTCGATGCAGAATAAGCTGATAGCAAACGAGTCCAAAGAAAGGCCACAGTGGTGGTGCAAGGAATACACCTGTCTACCTGGGAGTGCTGATGCCATGCTGACACCCCTGCCCTATGGCTGGAGGGCGGTGGGGCAGCCAGGGTGGACACCAAGTGCATGGGTGCTGGCAGCTAAAGGGCTCTGGTTTGCTCCAGGACATGCTTTTTAGCTTCTAATGTCTAAGAAATTTGTAGTCAGTGAACAATTTTTTTAGGTTTTGCCCCAGCGGTTTCTCATCAAATTAAGATCAGAGGCTGCTAATTAATATTCACTCCTCTTACATTCAACAAGATGAATTTATTACTCATAGTCTGCGATGCAGATACAATCTGAAAGATTACATTACTACCATTCTTGTTTTTTTCAAGAACAGAATTAGATTCCATAAATTTAGTATTGTATTTTATTGTATTTTATTTTATCTTATCTTACTTTCTATACTTTGATTTTATTTATTTTATTTTTAGCAAGTGAATAATGTTAATCTATATTGAATATTACAAGGACCTTGGCTGGTTTTCCATTTTTATTTTTATTTTATCAGATAGACAGTGCTCAGCAGGAAGCTGTGACCAGCGTAATCACTGCGGCAGATGGAAGGGTGTCTCCAAAATGGGATCAAAGAGAGAATGAGAGAATTCCTGTCATGGCAACCATTACCACAGGAAGCCTGGACGGCTGAGATGGCAGAGTATTTTGAAACCACAATAGGAAAGAGATGCAGCTTTTGACATTGATGCCCATCTCCGGGTGCTCATTGTGGGCTTGCTGGCTACCTAAGGGACTCAAAGAGATTTCTCCTGGTTTCATCTGGCATGTGAAGACATCTCTTTGCAAGGCTGGGTTCAGTTCATAACTGTTAAAACATCCCAGGAAGGTCTTTTTTGAAACAGTGTTTTCCAGCACCTTTCTTTACATCCAGAACCTCTCTTCTCAGCTTTACCTTCTGCCCTCAAGAAGGAAATGGAAAGCCCAAAAACCATCACAATGCACACCTAACCTTCCTTAAGAATCTGCGTCTGTGCTGCTGGCTGAATAGCTGATTATGGTTTACGTGAACTATATACTAATCCACTTACTCAGACTTTATGTATCATATAGCAATGTTTGATGGCATTCTCTCATTTTACTGTTTGCACCAAGATTATTCAATTGAAATTATTCTTATTGAAGACACCTTAAAGCCTGATCTCATAGAAAAGAGGGGATGTAGCCATAAGCAGACACCCTAGCCTAAATTGGTGACTAGTGGGTAAAGTATTCCTCATAAAAATTATACTCTTTCAGTACTGAATGCTAGAACAAAAAGTACACTGCCCACATATTTGCACAAGACAGGCATCTAAATCGCCATTCAAAGCCAGGTCAAAGGTGAATCTCATAAATCTAAATCCAAAGCCGGATTTGCACAGCTCTAAATTTAATTCACTACACCAGCAAATGCTCTCAAGAGCTCAGACATCTTGAACACACTGTTGTAGATTTGAAGTCCAGGCCACCAGACATTTTTCCAAACAGCTCTGCAGCAGCAGCAACAGTAAATTGTGAGTGTGTGATGGAGTTGTGCATCTTTATCATTTTTTTAACTATCAAGTTATTCTTTCCACTGGAGAGTCTTTGTGATGCTGGTGATCAGAGTATAAAGGGATTCACATATCTGCCTATGTAACAATCTACAAAGGCAATAGAGAGGGCTCAATAAAAGCCATCACAAGCAAACTAGAAGGAGAATATGTCTAACATGTGGGAAGTTTGGATAAGCAAGGTACAGCACCACAACCAAATGTTTGTGGAGCTTTTGCCAGACAGACAAACTCTAGAATAAAAGTATGGTATTAGATCCGGTTCTCGTGTTCCTCCACTACTTGGTTAAGGGCTTTTAACTCCAACAGCTTCTGCTGCTGCTAGAAAGCTGCAGGAATGTTTTGCATGATGAGAGGGCAAGATGAGTGAGAAAATTAGTAACGGGTTACAGAGCCTTTCACCTTAGAGGTTACTGGCTTAAATACAGCTTATTGCTATCCAGCTATTAAACTTTGCCCTGAATTTGCACAAGTGAAACCCAAGTATCTGGCAGCACCATGGAGTACCAATTATAATTTGCAGAGCCCCCCGTTCCTCTGCCCATGTACAAAGGCAACAGGAGCCCAGCTAGAATAAGCCCAGCTGCAGAATGTAGTGTGATGCAAAGAGGAGGATTCTAGCGTGCATTTTTGGTGTGGGAAAGATGGGAAAAAGATCATGTATGAAAATTCCGTACTATTGCAGAAAGTCCCAAAAGCAGAAAGTTCAAAATTCAAACACTGGGGGATACTGTTATGGAAATCTGTTGCAAAGGAATTGCAGTCTTTTAGGGTAGCAACAGAAATGTCACCTTATTTTTTCCATTGAGTGCTGTACCCTGTAGGGACATTCAAAATCAGGTCTTACACATGACAGTTTCGACACTGCATCTGGACTGATTTCTTTTTCATGCATCTGGACAAGAAATTAATTTATCAAACTTCTTAATGGAATTGAAAGTGCCAAAATAGCTGGTGCCAAAATAGCAAAATATTTTGTTCAAACTTTTCAAGCTAAATGAAATTATTCAGAATATCTGAGCCAAAACATCTCTGCTTTCTTTTTAATTTTCTTCTAATCATAGAATCATAGAATAGTTAGGGTTGGAAAGGACCTTAAGATGTGACCTCAAGCCAGTGAGCCCCTGCTCCTCCGCATTTTCATGCATGGCCCTAGCTGAAGGCTGTAAACTGTCTTAGCACAGGCCAGGCCACAGGAAAAAAAAGGCAGTGAGAAGTGCACCTTGGTCCTTGCCACCACTTCACTCCGCAGTCATCCCCCCAAAATGGGGATGGCAAAAGCCATTCCAAGCCTACCTTCCCCTTGCATCATCTCTACCACTGCAGGACAGAAGAGATACAGCTGTGACTTGGCCTTTGCTATCATTTCTGTAATGAGGGTTGCTCACGGAATTAGACCTACCTTGCAAGAGCCTTAGAAGTCAAGTACTCTTTCTAATGGACTATTAAAGTTACCAGGACATTGATGTTGAGATGGGAGCAGTTGCATTATCCTTTTACAAGGCATAAAATGATTTTATTGATCCACTCTCAAACACAGAAGTCCCATTTTGACATATTTACTTCCAGTCAGGGAGTATGCAATAAAAATCTTATGAGAAACTTGCTGCCTTTCTGCTCTAGGTGGGCAGGATGGGTGGCTTCCCCCAGGGGTGCTCTGAGAGCAGAAAAAAACGTATTTATCGTGAAACTCAGATACCCATGGTCTATGAACTACTGAACATGTGGCATGCTGCTGAAGTCTTTATAAAACTGGATTAGAAAGGGACAGGAATTTAGTAAGAAAAAGTCTAGAAAGAAAAGGGAAAACAAATTTCTATCTGGCCTATATCTGACCATCTAACCACTGTTCTCATGAATGTTGTCTCACCCTTGTACTATACATATAATTGATCCTGAGAAATCTGACGTGTTCATTGTGTGTTGCTGGAGGATAATGAGCTGTATGAGTTGTAGGACAGTGGATAATAAACACAGTGGGTTTTCCTAGTATTTCTGGTCGACAGCTTACTGATACTGCAGCTTATAATTAAGAACATTACCATTTTATCGTGCAAGAAGCTTGCTTGTACTCTTGTCCCTCTCTCTAAGTGTGTTCTCTTGATAATTTCAAATTATATCTTCTTGATAGCTAATTCCATTATTATTATTCAGTGAAGTGTTTGCAATTTTATTTTCTTCTTATTTTGAAAGGACCAAAAAAATTTGCAACTGTTGTTTTTTTATAAGGTGATGCATTACTGTCTACAGAAAAAATATTTGTAATTGTGTCTTTGCTGTAAGAAGTGAGTTTTTGTTCTTTCATTCACTTCAGATTCTCCCTCATTTACTGTTTCGGTTGCTACCAGACTTCAGGAGAACTACAGTTCTTTAAATATTTGTGTTAGAGTAAATAGTCGAATCCAAACTCTATGAGGAAGGAAGCAGAGGGAAATTAAAAGATGCAATAAATGCCTCCAAAGGGCAAGTGAACAGCCTTGAGAGACTCAAAGTACTGTGGTTTCTGTGTTTAGAAAAAACACTGCCTGTCCATCAGTTTGTAAACAGCACAGATTTTTCATCCACATCCAAAGACCAAATAGATAACAAACAGGCTCTGCAATTTGGACTGATGAAAACTAACTGGTTGCTAAGAGCTGCAAGATGATGACTTTCAGAGGACTTCTTGGTCACACTTTATTGATTAAAAAAATAAATATCATGGACTTTTTGACCTAAGACAAAATGATATAAAAATCCTCATTTGGAGCACAAAACTGATTTCACCTCAGTGGCTGTTGTGCACAGCCTGAACAGCTTGCAGCCATTCTTTCAATCAGACTCATTCTGCAGAAAATCTTCCTGTCTTGTGTAGGGGCAGGATGAGGTGCCGTTTCAGTACATAGACAATGAGCATGGCCTTACAGCTATTTTGGACTGTGGAGCAAACTGAAGCCATGGGAATGAGCACTGCTGTAAAAGAAATCAAACAACTCAGCACTGCAGATGCTGACTCTTCAACTCCAATGACTTTTTGCCTCCATGGATGTCACTGAGGAGAAGCAGGGATGTCCGTGAGATCCTGGGACCCTGTCCAGCTCTTGCAGAGGAGCCATTGGCTTAGTTCCTAGAAGCCATGGGGAGCAGGAAGAGTTGCTGAAGTGAAGCACTGTCAGGAGGTGGCTCAGGGTGGACAACACTGGTGAGGGGTGGGTGAGCTCTAGGACAAGAGGACATCTGACACAGGGGTTGTCCTGCTGGATGGTTGAAAGGGAAGTTTCCCCTTTCCAACCTCTCTTTCTATTTTGAGAGCTTTCTCGTACTTCCCATCACCTCATGCTGGATTTATTTCTATCAAGCTCACACAGCTCCTGGGGAGGACTGAGCACAGGGTGGTGGAGAGTTCTGGACAGGAACTGACAGCTCTCAAGCTGTCTGCATGGACACATACATGAACTTTCTGCTCACTGGGCTGAGGAACACCGCTGGCAGATGATCTTCCTCTATTCCACTTCTGATTTTGGTCGACATGTATCGATCTCAAATCTCCACAGATGCCTCTGTAAGTACCATCTGGCCAGCCTGATATTTTTAACCAAAGCCCAAGGATTCCTATCACAAGACATTTTTGGATCATACTAAAAAAGTTTTTTTGGGGTTTTTCTTTTCCTTAATTTTTAGTGTTCCTCAAAACATAATTCAGGCACAACACCCATGTCCTAAATAAAAATCAGACTACTGACCCATTGCCCCCAAAACTTCCAGAAGCACCTAGATCATGTCTTCAAGTGCTGGTACCTTCAGGTGCAATGGGGAAGGCTGCGTGGGAGATGCCATCAGCTTTGAACAGGAAAGACAGCACTGATTGTGACCACCAGCATCCACAATAGTCTACAGACTATATTGCAGATCAGATCCCGCTTCAGGCTGTTACACCTCAGATTTACACCAAATCATTCCAGAAACTATCCACTCTTTTGCTGGTTTGGATTATTTCACTATTCCTAAACATCTTGTATGGTTATGCAAAAAAACTCAAGATACTGAGTACCATAAGTGATATTCAGTTCACAAAAGGATAATTTTAATCTAAACAATCCTTCTTATTGCTGTAAAACCTTTATAACCAAATGCAATCGGAGTTTTTCGACAGCAGGTACTTACAGTATCTTGTCATACCTGAGGGATTTTCTTAC